GTAAGCAGATTTACTTCATGCATCACCCTGGTATGGGCTTTTCCTGTATTACTAAAGAGCAAGACAGAGCACTCTGCTCTGAAAGCAGAGACAGGGACTTGTGTGAAGGGTGGGTTGACATGGGTAGTGTCTGATGCACACAGCACATGAATCCCAGTATTGTATTGCTCCCTTGAACAAGCTCAAGAGACTGTCATTTTCTGCTACATCTCCTCAGGTAAGTGTAATCCATTATTCTTCTGCTGCTCCTTAGGAAATGGGAGGACAGGAGGCAAGATAAAACCTATGCCCATCCTCTCTGCAGTTTCCTGCTCCAGGGTCAGCAAAGATACACAGGGGTGGCTGTGTGTGAGCCACGTGCGGTGGCCACTTCTTCACTTGCACGATAGTGTGGCTCCAGTCACAAGCCAATTATTCCTGCCTCTGTGCATTGTCTCCTGCATGAAGCAGGTGTGTCTTGCTGCACTGAGCCAGAGAGGGAGGCTAGGAGCTGAGGGATGAATGGCAAGTAACAGGATCCCTTCTGTGGTGGAGGGAGAGACATCTGCACACTCTCCTGGGGAGCAGGCTTTAATATCTGCCTTCTCTACAAGCAGCATGGACCAGCCCCTGCATTCAGAAAGGTAAAGCCACAGGATATGGACCTGATGAGATTTCCAGGTAGTGCTGGGATTCTCCACACACCACATTAGTGGGCTTTGTAAGGCCCAGAAATCACAATCTGCTGTAATGGATGGGTGGTCACCTGGCAAGCATGACTATATGCTCACTTACTGGAAATAGGTGCTGGTGACCGCTTGGAAAAAAAAAAAAAAAAGACCTTTGCTCTAACATTTCAAATTTGTTTTTATTGCTTCTAATTGGCCTTGCTTTGGAGCATGCACATTATCTAACTGCCAGGGCACTGGCTGTCATTATCTGCCGGGTCATTTGGTTTGTGTTCTTTACGATTGAAACTTGTCAGGCACTCCCAGAAAATACTGTGCTCCCCTTGCAGTGTCAAACATGGCACTGGTTAATTGTGCATCCCTGAGAGTGAAGCATTGGAAGTGATCAGGAAATGATTGTTCAGTGTGATGGGCGCAATGGAAACGTGTCTCCTCAGGATGGAGGGGAAAGTGTAAAAATTAGATCAGCAGCAACATGACAGCAGCCACATTTCTTAGTTTCAGGGATCAGAGGTTACCCATTTTCCAGCCTTGATGACTCATTTTCTATCCTGCTCACATGGCTCGAATAACTTAATTTTCTCCTCCCTTTGCAACAATTTAAACACCAAGACTCTTCTATTTTTACTTTCTTTAATACACCAGCTGCAAAGTCACTAACTCAAATCTCCCCACCTCACCTTGCTTCACCAAATGGAAACAAAAGTCAAAACATGTGTATGTGAAAGAGCTTAAAATGCCACGGTGGCACAAGCGTGCCCATGGTGGTGGCTCTCTAAATCTCAGCTCATCCAAAACATCAGCCCAGTTTGTGTGTCTGCTGATTCACTTTAAAACCTTTAAGACTTCCAACCAATTAGAAATCCAGATACAATTTTGGATGTGAACATATACACTGCATTCAGAGTAGATGTATATAGGGAACACCAAGCTTTTAGACCTCAGTGTGAATTATGCATCTGCTGTACATAGATAGAAGCAATTTTCCTGTTGAAATCAGAGGCTGGCATTTTTTCCCATGGGGTTCTGTAACTCAAAATTGTGTTGAGATCAAGCATGTAGTGGAGGTTTTTTTAGCTGTAAAGGTGAATGTATTTAGATTATTCAAGTGGTGATTTTTTGGATGTACAATTAGTTGAGTGAGAGATGTGGTATAAATTTGGTATTGTAATTGCTATGCCTCTGAGATTTCAATTTGCAAAACAGTTTGCACGGCTGCAAGATTAACTGTTGTCTGTGCGATGAACATGTAGCAGAGCTGTGGTTTGATTGTGACTGTCTCTCAGCTGGCTGTAGATCCCAAAAAAACACTTTGTCACAAGTACCTGATGTGAGTGGTTGATACTCATGATCCTTCAGTTCAGTTGATGCCTGGATGGCTACAAAAAGACCAGTGTCTAAAAATCCCACCTGTAAGGCAAGATCTCCTTTTCTGTGTTAGTCAAATCATGAAAAAGGAAGGAAGTTTAAGACCCATTTTTATCCTCTTTACATATTTTGTATTATATCATTTCCTTCATTTGCACAGAGGAGAATGGGAATGACATTCAGCAGTGCTGCTCCAGTGGAGTGGACCAGTGGGTGCAGAGAAATGAGGCCTGTATGGGAACACCCGCACAGCCCAGCCAGGAACTGAGCCCTGCCCGCCTGTCCGGCACTGGCTGTGCCCTGGGAGCAGGCAGGCAGGCTGTCAGCAGTGACATGGGCAGTGCTGATGCAGCCCCAGGGCAGGGAATGGACTGGCTGGCTGGCTTTCCAATGTTTTGCGTGATTCTGCATTTGGTCCACAGCTGCTGCTGTGTTTGGGTCTCCGGTGTTGTCTAGGAACATGTCAATGTGATTATACACACGAGCAGAGAAACCGCTTGTTCTCACTTCACTGTGCCTTTCAGGTCTCCCTTCCAGGGGCCTAATTTATTTATTTTTGTCTCAGTGTTTCTCTTCAAAATACCACTGTGCCTTAGGTTGGTGATTGCACTGTGGAGATGCAGTAGATGCTGAACTGGAGGCAGCTGTGACAGTGGTGAGGAGGGGAGGGCTGGTGGAGGCAAAGCCCTCTAAGCCCTGTGCCCCATCAGTTCCTGCATTATTTCAATTATTTTTAAATGCATATTAAAACCTTCTTCTGCAACTAAAAGCAGGAGCACTGACAAACATGTGCCTGTGTGTTGGGGAAGGCAGGTTTCTCTGTGTCATTACAGCCAGCAGCTTCAGAGGGGCCCGATTCCTTGGACTCACCTTGGGGTGAGTCAGGGTAGAGACCTGGGTTTTCATCTCTGCTCTTTTCAGTTCTCCCCAGGTCTGCTGCATGGCCTTCACTTTTGGTAACATGGCTGTGTGATAGATAGGTCCTCTCCTTCCCAGTGTTTGAGTCTCAGTATGGTTTGGTAGAGCACCAACACCAGCCTGCCCGAGGTCTGCAGCTGCCATGGAGAGTAAAGATAACTGGTCTTTGAGGGAGCAGACTGAGAGCTCAAAGAGTAGATCAGGCACAAGCAGAGGACCTTCTCATCTGTCTCCTGCCACAGCAGTGGGGGATGAATGAACAAAATCGGCAGGGCATGACAGGTATTGGAAGGGCCAAGAGCTGTCTGAGGGGGCACCCCAGAGGCTCACTGGAGCCCCTTGGCTGGTGTGAGCAAGGCTGACAGCACGGTTTGATTACCTTCCTTGGGATGGGAGTGGATAGTCAGGTTTTGTGCTTTTACAAAGGAGATGCTATTGAGATATATCTGCAAGGGATGGTGATGGCTGCTCAGAGCTGGTGCTGCTTTGCGGTGAGTCTGGAGGGACCCCACTCTCCCCACTGGCAGTCCACAGGCAGGGTTGTAGGGCTGCCTTGTTGTCAGTGAGCAGCCAAAGCTGGTTCCTCTGGCTCCTGGTCCCAGTATTTGTCTCAGAGGCACCTTTTCAGTCCCAGTGAGACCTGACAGTGCTGGCAGGGAGCTGTGAAGTGAAGCTTCCCACTCTGGGATATCCTGGTGCTGGCCAAGCCACCCTGAGCGAGGGATGGTGCTGCAGGATCCACACCCTTGGACATTCAGCCTGTCATCAAGCAAAGGCTCTGGGTACAATAGTGTGAGTTGTGACCCCTTTTCCCCATACGTGGCTCTGCTCAGAGAGACAGCCCAGGGCTGAGGCTGTCTGGTCACTTGTGCCCATCTTGCTGTGACCAGTGTGTCAGGACCTGGAGGGAGGAGAGGCAGCGAGAGTGCTGGGCCATGAAATGGAGGATTTTAATTAAGGCTTCTAAGCAAAGAGGCTTTATAAGTACATAGAATAGAAATGTTACGGAATTAACTGATAATAGATATTTACTTTTCCTTGGAGTAGCAAACATTCATCATGCACACTGTAAACACACACCCAGGAATGCTTTTTCTGGGAAACAAGTAGTTAGACTTGTCAGGAACCAAAGTTTTACAAAGCAGGTCTTTCCTCCAGACAAGCTGAGGAAAGCTGGGGAGCTGGTTCTGTGGTGCTAGGTCGTAAGGAGATCAGTTCTTACGCTGTGAACTCTTAGGGCATCACTTTTTATTTAGCATAACCCTGCTTCTTTGAAGGCCAGCAGTAAAACTCCCACTGCTTTGCTAGGGCTGTAGCCTGAAAGGGGCACTGGAAGTGCCACACTCCAATTAATAGTGACAACTGAAGTTTGGCATGACTGCTAGATAATTGGAGTTAACAGGCATGATGAAATAGCAGTGTCACACTGAGCTCTTTGAAGGCACAGGTCTGGTTGCTGGAAGCACTGGCATCATGTGTTGGGTGTTCCCAGGCCACGCAGTGGGAGTCTGTCACCAAAGAGTCTGACCCAACTGTGAACACCCCTGGCAGTGGGGGAAATCCAGTGGTGAGCAGACTCGTGAACCCAGCTGTCCTGCGAATGGTACATGCCCCAGAAGGAAATATTCACAGTGATAGGAGGGCTGTTAACAAGTGGAAATGAAGTGAAACATTTCAGGTGCACGGGAGCCACAGTGAGGAGCGTCGTGAATGAGTGGATGCACCACCACAAGGAGAAAACAGTGGTAAGTGCCTCACCCAAAGGGAAGCAGTGGGGCCCTTTTCCTGGAGAGCTCAGAGCTAGCACAAAGCCCTTGAAGCCTCCTGGAAGGACTAACCCTGCTCTGGCCAGAGGATGATGGGACCAGCTGGTCTTTAACCACCTCTAATTTGCGTCGAGCTGCCAAAGCCTTCCTTGCAGATGCGCTTCACTGTGAGACTTCACACATGGCTTCTCCTCAGAGCACACCCCACACACACACAGTACCTGCTGCTGCAACACCGCAGTGTCTGACAATACCTGTCCTCTCTCTCTTCCTTTGGCAGGAAGGAGAAACTGCCGCACTTTAAATGCACTGCCCAGCGAGGCCCAGGGAACAGCCATGCTGGCAGCAAGCCAGAGAAGAGGAGCCAGGCACATCTGAAGGACCAGTCTCTCTCCACACGATGAGAGGAGAGGAGAGAAGAGGAGAGGAGGGCTGCAGGGCAAGGCGGAGGAGCACGTCGCAGTCTGGAATTGATGATGTTTCTCTTTTTTTTCTCCCAGACAAGTATTTCTAAGATAACAAATAGTCCAAGGAGAGAAGAGGGAGAGGGGAATTAGCTAGAAATTTTACTATTGATTCTTTTTTATTTATAGATGGTGAATCAATTTGAGGGTTTTTTTTTTTTTTTTGGCTTTTTTTTTTTTTTTTTATCTGTGGGGGGAAAAAAAAAGAGTGAACTAATAGCTTTGCAGAAATCATTTGCGGTGGCTGAAAATCTATTTGTTAAAATGAGAAAGCCTTCCCTTCCTCCAGCAGTCCCCTCCTCTGACTTTAAAGGGGTAATCCATACAATGAGCTAAGGAGGGAGTCCTGGCTCCCCTCCTGCACCGTGTGATGTCTCCCCTTTTAGTGTCAGGCTTGGAAGCTCTTATGCCAATTGCATGTGCTAGTCCTGTTAGCTTGCATTAAGAGAGCCTGATAAATAGCTTCTGGGAGCCAGGCAGGTGCTCCTCAGTGTGCCGTTTATCATCCGCTGCATGGTTAGGTTTTTTGCTCTTTATCAGATCATTTGAGGAGAGGGGTCATATGAGAAATGTTACTGTCAGGCTGCCGGCATGAAACTTAATGCAAGACCTGTCTAACACGCAGGAATCATGGTCCTCAAGCAAAAAAATGGCTGGGGTCTAGAAAGACTGAACTTCCCAACAGATGTATGACTGAGGCAGCATGAGCTGGGGTAGTGGTGAAAGGGGTGAACAAATAGTGTTGTGCCACTACTGCAAGAAATCCCAAGTAAAACCTCAGCACCTTTCCATTACCTGGACAACATGTGAAATCTCTGCTCAAAGCCACCATCATTAGACAATCTTGTCTCCTGCATTGTGTGACTATCTGAAACTTCTGCCAGTGATTCTGAAACTGGAGGCTAAAAGAGGGTGACGCTGAGGAGAGTCCGAGTGTCTCACAGGGAATGGGAAGGGAGAATGCACTTAGAAGTGCCTCTTCTCAACCCAGCTTTTCTTCACTGTCTTCTGATAGGAGTTAGTCTGCAAGGGTGGCTTGAGGGAGACAAGGTGCCAAGACTCAGCAGATAAGAGAGGGAGAGGATGAACCAGACTGAGGGTGAAGAATGACGTGTGAAACAAGACTGAATAAGCTCCTCTTGGTAGGGAGTGGCCCTGAAGAAGTACTAGCCCCAGACACTGTTATTTAGTAAGAGCTGGGTTGGTTGTTCCTCTCCTCTTTCCCAGGACATAAATGTCATGATCTAAGAACACAGTCAGGCTCAGCTGGGTCCTCGTGATGGCCTGTGTAAAAGAAAAATGAATCCTGGGGATAAATGAAAAGGTATGGTAAAAACTGAGAACTATAGGCTAAAATAGACCTTTGGGGTAACTTAAATTTACTGTCCCTGGGGGGACAACTTCCTGATTCTTCAGTAATGGAGACCTGGCTGCAAGGCCTGAGCATGACCAATGCTGAACCAAGGTGTGATCCTAGGAAGAGCTGAAAACAGCTTGGGTTGCATTCATACTTCCTCTTTAACAATCTCAATGGATAAAAGGGAGTTTTCTGTGAGGTTCTTGAGCTTCCCTCCATACAAGTAAACACAAAGCAAGCAGGGTCAAGGCTGAGGTCTGTGTTCTGTGTCTCAGGACCTCACACACACTTCTGGAGCCTCCCAATGGGCCTCCTGGAAGCCACTGGCACATGGTTTCCACCCAGTTTCTATTACTGCAGCCAGAAAAGAGTGAGCAGGTACAAGTTAGGACAAAAGCTTGGCTTTGCACGCCTCTGCAAACAGACAAGCTACTCAGGGTCGGCCAAAACTTGAGCTGAATATATCTGTGCATTAGCCACCCATTAGCTGGGCTTTCCTAAGTTAGTTAATTGCTCTCTGACCAGGAGAACTCTGTTGAAAACAAGAAGGAGGTATCCCACTGGAAAGAAAATTATTTGAAACACCAGGCAAAACTGATACTGTCAGCATTTCAAGGTGAGGGGGTTAAACTGTGTACATTTTTAGGGAGAATAAAATGCCTTTATAGGATGGATTCCAAGACATCCAAAAGGCGCAGTGCTGGCTCTCCGTCTCCAAAAGCAGAGTAATGAGTAGCAGTGACAGTGTGATAATTAAAATGACCTCTTGGAGATATGGATTAGAAGGTACGCAGAAGGGGGATAAGTTCTCCTTTGAATTAATCTAGTGCTAATTTATGACTATCGTTGGGTTTTATAGGGTTTTAGTTGGAGACTTTCAAAGTTGGTTTATTGGGGTGAAAATGTTCCTTCTGCATATTCATTGGAAAAACTCAGAATTCCTCATTATTTATTTTTGAATGTTTCTATATACACATATATATATAATGAGAGAGTTTCAGTATTTGCTTAGCCGCTAAAAAGTCTACTCTAGAAATATGAATAAAGTGATAAAAGCAGTTGTGGAATGAGTATGTTGTTTCATTTTCATTCCTTCCTCCTCAGAGGCTTCCAGATAACTTCAAAACCAAGACATGGACAGGTGGATTCTGGGAAGCTCTTGAGCGGCCCTGCTATCAGCTGTCAGAGGCTCCCTCTACTTGACTTGTAAAATTTGGGCTTTTAAGTTTAGATTTAATAACTGGATCTTCCTGGAAGTCACTGTCTCTGCTTCTTACTTGTCTTCTGCCACCTTTATCTGCCCCACAGCCTGAAATTTATAGGTGATGATGCTTCCTTTCTGCTGAGATACCCCAGGCTTTCAGCTGGATAGAAGGAACAGATTGGAGATGGTTACCCATATGGGAAATGATGACATCCCATTTGTCAACTCACATGCTGCTAACCTTCCTCCCATCCTCTCCACCTGCCTAGCAATGCCATAATATTCAACATAAGGTTATCTGCCAAAGCATCTGCCTTGCTCTTCAGTTGGGCAGCACGCCCATTCTGGAACCCATCTTCCCCATCCTTGTTCCAGCACATCATGTTCAAACCCTTTGCTCTTACCTCTCATTTCATTCCTCTTTCAGTTTGTCTCCAGCACCTTCTGGTAGAGCACCTACCCAATTTTTCCACACTGAGATCCCAATCAAATCTTTCCTGAGCCCCATAGCAGAGCTGACACTATAGTGATTTCTTCAGAGACCTGCCTCTGCTTTCAGGGTTCACTAATAAACCGTGTTTCTTGAAAGTTCTCCCTGACCAGCTGGGGATGGGAGCCTGAGCCTTTCACTGTAGGGTCTTTGCCTCATGAGAGTTTACACTTTGGCATGTGTGCATGGCAGAGTGTGCATTATGTGCATGATCCCATTTTTGGGGGGAGACTAGCATGGGAGCTGAAAATAGAAGACCTCCTGTTCCCAGTCTCTAGTTCACTTTCCTCCCACACAAGTGCTGATATTCTCTTCCTCTACCTGAGCAGGGAGATGCTGCTTCAGAGCCTACTTCTGGCCTGCCACGAACCTCTTTTTCCTGGGAGATGATCTGTGTCTCAGCCATAAGTAATGCACGTTCTACACCCAACAGTAATTCTTTGCTAGTTGCTAGGTCCAAGGTAAGGTAACATCAGGGATTCTGAAAGGTTCAGAGACAAATATGGTTCTAAAACTAGAAATTTAATTGGACAGAGCAAAGGCACATGTTTATCTGAGTGCAAGTGGAGGGCTTTTCTTTTGGGGAGACCAGTGTCCCATTGCAGTGCCCTCCCTGCCAGTTCCCACTCTCTGCTTGGGGAGCTGCAGGGCCCTCCCTTGGAGCAATAGCAATGTATTTGCCTCCCTTTGTACAGGACTGGGTCATGAATATTAAAATGCCAAAATTAACTTGTTTTCTATGCATTCTGCTCTCCTGACAAGAAAATCCCACTACAAACCCCTGCACAGGCAGCCTAACTGTGCTGAATTGGACCCTCACTGTGAGGGGATTATATATTCTGATTGGGGCTGAGTTTGCAATTATTTTCTGTGCCACACCAAAGACCTTTACTGCAGAGCTGCAAACCAGTTATAGGAACATGAAATGCTTTGACTTCTTCACTAGGGAAACATTAATCCAATCACAGGTTATGTCCATTACAGACTATGGCAATATTGTATACAGGAATTCCCAGGAGAAGGTTCTACAAAAATTGGAATCTCTCTATAACCATGTTATGAGATTTACTGGTGTGGATAAAATGGGCAGAGTTAAAATTACCAGGCTGGCTATCTCTAAAAGACAGGTGAAGTCTGCTGGCTATCATTGCTTCGCAATATTACAAATGGAAAAGCCCTGAAGTAATTGAATAACACATCTGCTGAAAAAAACCTTGTGAACTGCTATAACCTAAAGATAGACTGCGAGGAAACAATGTAGGTACAGCACCCGGTTAAAAGGAAAAAGATGCTGTCCTTACCTGGTGCAGGAAGATATCGCAAATGCAGGTACAGATTCTCTCCTTGCCTCCTAGATTATGTGTCTGTATCTGTGTGTCCTCTATATATTGATGTGTGTGTGTTTGTGTCTATCTAACTCTTTCTTTTCACATAAAAATAAGTTAAACCAGGTTCCTCAGCAGCCAGAGGTGCTGGATGGTAACGCAGGGCTCACTGCATTTCCTTTTCTACTGGAGGTTGCTGAAAACATTTCCCGTAGCTGGCAAAGGATATGATTTCTGTCCCCTTAAAGTCTCTCTGTCCTTGTGCAGAAAAAAGATTTCAAAGCACTGTGCAAGAGTTGATGAGGGTTTTCTCTGTGCTTTATTATCTGTATTCAGTGGTCTATAGCCACAGTTTAATAGCAGAGAGCAATTCCCTAGGTGACTGCAAGTCCAGGACTACAAGAAGATGTGCACTGATGGAGTTGCTGTGGCCAAGGCAGCGTTATCTGTGTAAGACACTGTACCCTGTAAACCCCATTCAGAGGGGAGGATGGCCACAGCCTGCCCACTGCCTCCATATGACCTGCAAGAGCAACCAGGTCGTCTCCAGCCATGAGGAGCCAGAATTCCTGGAGCCACACATTCCAGACCCAGCAAACGTGACCCACCATCGTCTAATCCCTTCTCTGGAGGTAAGTGTGGTGTGGACTGGGCTTTTGTGGTATGAGAGGGGATTTCAGGACAGGTCAGATGCAATACATCCTCCTACAGTTCTGCCTGGGCACGGAGGAGCACCTCTCATTACTCATGTTCCTCCCCATCTGGTAGCTCTGAGCAGAGATCCAAGGGCACCTGACATGGACTGCACTGCAGCAGCATGGCTGTCAGGGGCTGTCACAGCTGGTCAGTATGGGAAGGTGTGATTTATTTCACATTTCATGCACCCCTCCATGAGAGACCAGCACACACGGAAGGACAAGAAGTTTTTGAGAGAGTCTGGAGAGGCTTGAATCCTTCTGGAAGGAACCAGGGGACACTGAGAACATGAGTATTGATGGGCACAGATGTAAAAGAACTTTGAAATCAGATTCCTTTTTCTTTTTCGTTAAGTCCTTCATTTAAGAAGCTCTTTATCACTGAAAATGTTTTAAAGAATCCAACTTTATGAAGTACAATAATGCTGTTTTTCCAGTAAGGCTTGAAATTTACTGTTTGTAAGCAGTGGAAACAGAAACCAGCCAACTCTAACTTAAGCTGCAGTACCAATAGCCTGGGTATAGGAGCAAGTTATGCCATGGGGAGGTGAATTCTTTCTCACAGTCACAAGGGAGTCAATATCCTACTGTGATTCCCTTGTTACATGCACAAAATTATACTGAGTATAAAGAGCCTGCTGTTCATTTTGTGCATTCAGGTTTGTTACCCCTGATACTTTCAGCCAAAGCAGCCTAAACAAATGCTGAGGATTTGTACTCCCCTCCCTTTGGTGCCAAGTTAAGGTGGCGTATTTTTTGGTGTTGTTCCATGTATGTACCACTAAGATTAATGAGGATTTTTCTATAGCATTTATAGCCCATTTTAAGGCTGGATTAATAAATTTCTAGAAGTGTAATTTTTTTTAGGCCCTGAGCGTTATCTATGTTGTGTGATGCCCTCTTCCAGAGCCATGCTGCCATGAACACTAAATCCACTCACTGGTGTTGGTAAGGCTGAAGGCTGAGCACAGCCCTGCAGGGAAACAGCAGGCTCTTGGTAGGGATGTTGTTTTCTGGCAAATTCATGTTGTACTTAGCACTTAATAATTTCTGTGTCCCCTAAGGCAGATTTCTTTTCCCTCTCAGTTGGTCATAGTCCTGTCACACTCCCAAAGAGTCTGAGCAGCTGATTCTGAGTCATGAAGTGGGAAATACAGAGTATGTCTGAGGAGGCTTGACTAAGAAGTAGGAAGAAGAGGGGAGAAAAAAGGTGAAGAAGCACAACTTAACTTTAGTTCAGGAAGCTGGTTAAAGCATAGAGGTGCTCTTTAGTATGGGAGTCTTGAATCCCCCCCCCCTTCTCCGTTTTTAGCATGTGAGCATAGGTCTAGCAGAGCTTGTGGTTCAGCATTGAGGGGTGAGTGAAAGAAACCTTTGGTCTTTTAGGTGAAGAAGCATTCTGTTATTTGTAATAAAGCCAGGACTTAATCCTGGAAAGCTTGACTGCAACTCTCAGTTCTTCTATGGATCAGATATTGCAAGATTTAGGATAAGGGGAGGAATATTTATTTCTGTGATTCATCTCTACCATCTAAACCCTCGTGACTTCTGCCTCACACTAATGTTGCTTTATATAATTTTTTTTCCACGTGAGGAAATACCCATTTCTCACGTGGTGGCCTGAGACTCAAGCAGATGAAGTGAGATGAAGCAGGAGAGAAGTGGGTCACAGAGCCAACAGGGGAAGTGAATGAGACTCCATGGCTGAGCCACAGCAGCCAGCTGAGTGATGGCCATGAGTGCTTGGCTTAATCATCACAGATGCTCCCAAGGCAGTGTTGGCAGAGACTAAACAGTAATTAATAATGGCTGATAAATACCAACATTTCACACCTCTCAACCTTGAAACAGGGAAGAAGGATTTTTGCAAAAAACTTCCTTTTCTGTCACTCTCACACTTCATGTTCAGTACACTCCGTACCTGAACCGAGATGTTGTTCAGCCACACTGAGACTTCCTAAATTTTCATCTGAGGATTTCTGCCTGACATGGCTGTAAACATCAGAGTCCCCAGGTCATCAGTTAGTTCTAGGCCCATGATACAACTGGGAGATCTGGGAGATGAGAGAGGTTGTGTGGAAAGCAACACAGATAAGAACCCTAGGAACACCCATGTGGAAACCCAGCCCTGTTCTGAGCTAGGTGCCATGCAGCCTGGGACATGCCAGGTTAAAAGAAGGGCACGTTTTTGGAAGGGGAATATTTATTTGGAAATCACCAAGGGTCATCAGAGTAACCGGTGCTCTGCAGGGTAAATCTGCCTAAATTTTGTTCCAACCTCCTATTTCAGCATCCAGGTGTCTGCCCTTGCCTGCCCCAAAGCATTTTCTTGTGCCCTTCTGAAGATGGGAGT